AAAAAAAAAAAAAAAAAAAGGAAACCAGGTATGGTAGTGACCTCTACAAATGCTTTAAGCTTGAAAAATTCTGCATGAACGCTGAGACACAGCTGAGTCTGTCAAAGTTACTCAGAGATTGTAATTTCTCCAGCCTTCAAGTCATAATCATGGGTAAGAAATGAATAAATGTGCCTGATGACGCCTTGAAACTTCTTGAGATTTTTATATAAACTAGCCTATACTTTTCTCCTTACGATTAGCATACGGGGTAGCTATTTTTCTTAGTAGAGATTCCTCAAACGTAGCCAGGGTTAAGAGAAACGCAGGCGCTGCCTCTCAGGAAGCTGGAGACGCAAGAGAAAGAATTAGGAGTTAAAGGCCAAGTCAACGCCAACCACGGCGATTGGAAGCCGATCCCGGCTGGCGAGCTGGGGATCCAGAGCCTGGCGCAATCCCACCCACCTCTATCCACCCGGCGCCGCCGCCGGCGCGCGCCCATGACGTCACGGCGCCGGGGCGGGGCCCGCGGCAGGGGCCGGGCCTCTCTGGGATCTCGTGGTGGGGCGGGGTGGGGCCAGTGGCCCCGCGCGGCTCGGTGCGCTGGGGCCCTGGAGCGCCGGGGTTTATAGCGCGCCCGCTGAGGAGGCGGCTGTAGCGGAGAGGCGTGCGGGATCGGGATGTCGGGGCTGCCCACGGACCGGGAGCAGAGAGCACAGGAGCCGCAGCAAGCTGGCTTCGTGCTGGGGCTGGACGTGGGCAGTTCTGTGATCCGCTGCCACGTCTATGACCGTGCGGCGCGGGTCTGCGGCTCCAGCGCGCAGAAGGTGACTTGGGGGTGGGGTTAGGACCGGGTCTGACTGGGTTTTGCCGAGTCCCGGGGTCCGGCCTCGGGAGGCTAGCGGGCGGTCCCCACTCACCGCCCCGGAAGCGACCACCTGCAGCACCCGCGGGCCCTCGGGCCAGAGCGGCGCGCCGGGAAGGGCTGAGTCTCAGCGTTCCCTCCCTGGGCTGATCTGAACCTGGAGCGCCCTTCCTGTCCAGACTGAAGGCTCCAAGGGCCCGGTGTGTGACCTGCGCTGCTCGCTCGCCTCTTGCCACCTTGGGAGCCACCTGTCCAGCCTTAACTGGGTGGGACTGAGGTGACTCGCCAGACGGGACTGGGCAGGCTGTGCGTGTCCAGCCCGAGGGTGGTTTGTGAGTTGCTTGGTTCTTCCTGCACTTTCCTGATAGATTTCCCACTCCGTCTTTATTTACATTTTAATTTTTCACAACTTTTTTTCTTTTTTCTCTTTTATATCATTTGGACTTGTGCCTATAACTTCTCATATTTTTGTAGAATTTAAGTTTATTCATTGTTCTTCACTTATCATTATTAACTACTACTTCAGAAAATGCTGGTTCCTCACGTGAGCAATTGCCATGGATACTAGAGGTATTGGGCAAGTTTCGAAGGCTGTGTAGTCATCACTTTTTTATATTCCGTCTTTGAGAATTCATAGAATTCTTTTTTTCCCCTCGTTTGAGAGACCTGCCAAGTTGGTTGTTAGTAAAGCCTTGAACTGTTGATAATATTGGTCAGAAACCGGCAAATTGATATTCTTCTTTTCTCATATTAATGAAGTGTTGATTTCTACACAACTGTCAATGCACCAAAAATAATGTTTATTTGTTATGGCGTTCTTATTGTTGTTCCTTTTTTTCTTTTGAGACAGGGTCTCACTTTGTCACCCAGGCTGTAGTGCGGTGATGCGATCTCGGCTCACTGCAGCCTCGACATCCTGGGCTCAAGTGATCCTTCCACCTTAGCCCTCCAAGTAGCTGGGACTACAGGAAGGGGCCACCATGGCTGGCTAAATTTGTATTTTTTTATTATTTTATTTTATAAAGATGGGGTTTTGCCATGTTGCCCAGGCTGGTCTGTAACTCCTGGGCTAAAGCAATCCACCCACCTTGACCTCCCAAAGTGCTAAGATTACAGGTGTGAGCCACTGTGCCCAGCCTGTGAGGGTGTTCTTATTTACTCTTCCCAGTACCAGCATCTTTTTATGTTAGAAATTTGAGGGAGGGCAGGAGCCGTCAGTTACCTAAACCATTCCTAGCAGCACTGGATTTCCCGTTTTCTCAGTGTCCCACCCTTCTTCTCATTCACTTAAAGGTCTTTTTCTTTGTAGCACTTGCCCAGGAGCAGGTCCAACTAGAGTGCCAGTTAGTAGTTACTGAGCATTTGTTCTGAGGAAACATCAGACTGCCTTCCATTCAATTTTTGTTATTGTTGTTGTTATTTGTTTTCTTTGAGACAGAGTCTCGCTCTGTTGCCGAGAGTGGACTGCAGTGGTACTCTATCAGCTCACTGCAACCCCCGCCTCCCAGGTTTAGCAGTTCTCCTGCCTCAGCCTCTTGTGTAGCTGGGATTACAGGCACCGGCATCATGCTCGGCTAATTTTTGATTTTTGTAGAGATTGAGTTTCACCATGTTGGCCAGGCTGGTCTTGAACTCTTGACCTCAGGCGATCTGTCCACCTTGGCCTGCCAAAGCACTGGGATTACAGGTGTGAGACACCGCACCTGGGCTCCATTCAGGTTTCAGAACCAAGACAGTGGAACTGGGACTGTAACAGTCCCTGGTCCCTTCTCTGGCTGGCTGTGTGGGAACACTGCCCACCCACCCACATGCTAACCCGCTGTCCCAGACTGAAAGGACAAAAAAAAGGCAGACACCATTTTTCTGTGACTTGGTACTCCTTATCTTTGTATGAGGATTCACCACAAACACAGTGATACTTTTTAAACTCCTTTTTAATTCTAGACACAAAGTACTTTTGTTTTAAGCACTTTTTTTTTTTAAAGGAATTGAAATATTTGGAACCAAAGGGAGAAATAAATTACTAGAAAATGCAAAGTTTCACAGTTAATATATAATTTGGGGCAGATCGTTATTTTTTTAAGGAATGAGGTAAAGAATCTCTAAGATGGATCAAGATTGCCGTGAGTGGCAGGAGGCCAGGATGGTTTGCACAGACTCTAAATTGTGGAAAATGTGTCTGGAAAAAAGAAAGATAGGAGTAAATAAAATCACACACACACACACACACACACACGCACACGCACACGCACACACGCCTGCTCTTCCCAGATGAAGCACAGTCGTAGATTAAGAAATGTGCAGCAATGCCTCTCTGTGTGGTAGGAGTTTATAGCAGTACTGCTTAAAGTGTAATTCCAGGGCTGCTAGGATTGAGATAAAGAAAACCAAGCATTTAGGAACTTGTATAACAACTCAGCAGAGTAATTTTATGTATTGACTCTAATAATGAAACATTTGGGATTTTATTTTATAAGCCATTTTTTTCTGGAAACTTTATAAAAATTATTGTTATTTTTAGAGGCAGATTCTAACTCTGTCCCCCAGGTGGCCTGATCACAGATCATTGCAACCTTGAACTCCTGGGCTCAAGCCATCTTCCTGCCTCAGCCTCCTAAAGTGTTGGGATTACAGGCCCAAGTTACTGCACCTGGGCCGGAAACTTGTTTCTTAAAAATTGTTGATCCATAATGAATAGACATCTTTAAAAAAAAAAACAAGCAGCAACTGATCCTTTATTGCAGATAGTTTGAGTTTTTTTGGAACAAGGAGCTTGCTGGTCTACATTCCTACTTAATACCTGGCTTAGTACCTCCTGGTTACAGAATAAATAATTGAATTGCAGTTAAACTGTTAGGAATTCATGGGTCTCTATGACTTAGACATAGCACTTGATTGTGTTTATTTTGTCAAGTGAAAATTATACCTCTTATAATATTCAGTTGGAAAGAATGTATAATAGAAACCTAAAACCTCTTAGTGTATGATTTGATTGATACTGGGAAAGAAATTTTTTTAAAAAAGAAAAAGACATCCCTCTTTATAGACAAGAACAAAATAGGCTGTGAGAAGGCATCAATCATTTCTTATGACATTTATTTTTTTAATGTTTAACAGCAGAGATACATTTTTAGCTTATTTCTGTAATTTGTATTTTTTAAAAAGTCCTTCTTAGGTACTCTTAAATATTTGTATTAACTACTAGAGGAATAGTTTGTGTTGGAAACTCCACATAAGAATATTTGACATTTTGGTTTTAAAAATGAGGAATATTTATTATGTGCCTCAGTGGAACATCATGCTTTTATGAAAAACTATAAAAAAAGGATAATGTTTTGGTTGGAAGAACAGGACAGAAAGATCACTCCAAAGAAAACAATACCGTGTACTCTCTGTACATGCTTGAAAAATGGAGTATGTGGTTGTCATCTTTTGTTTTTAATTTAAAACATTTCTTTTTAACTTTTATTATATTCTTGATCTAATTTGGGTTTGGTCCTCCCGTCAAGGAACAGATTTCATTATTTTGACTTGTTTGGAGTTGGTATGTGACATCCTGATTGGTAAAGTGGGGAAGTGACCCTTGGTTAAGCCTGGAGGTTTATAGGCTTGAAGCAATGATACGCACATTGAATTTTTTGGGATAAGAAAATGTTTCTGTAGTTGAACTCTTATAGTCTGTAGTCATAAAAGCCTTACATAGAAAGGGCAGAAGTATTAATTGACAGAAGGAGAATAGATTGTGTTAGGTCTGTTTCTGATGAGCTCACTGGGGAATAAGGGATTCTTTTTCCACATCAGCTTGGGTAACACTTACACTCCTAGTATTGTCACTGTTTCCTCAGAGTTCTTTTTTTCTTCATTTTGGCCTTTTCGTACTGCATGTTAGAGATTTTCCCTAACTGGTGATCTTGGTTGGTTATCTGCGTTGTTTTTTTGGTACCATGCCTTACCCTAGCACTTAGATATATCTGCGATTTGCAAGTACAGAACTCTGGTTCAACCCCTCCAGAAGTAAATCTCTTACCTTCTGCCAGGTTAGGGAGGGACAGTGATCTGGCTGGAGGAGAGGAATTGGGGCTCCTTATAAAGACTTTGAATCAGTCCTGTGTACTATCCCATCTGGCATCCTAGCCTTCAGAGGAAACTGTAATTTCCAGAGTTCCACCCTAGAATCTCTGCTCTCTGCTTATGGGCATCACTCTCATAGTTCACTTATATGTTCATTCATACATTCACTTTATGTTTATGAAGTATCTAAGAAACATCTCATAGTTCACTCATATGTTCATTCATACATTCACTTTATATTTATCGAGTATCTAAGAAACCTTAGACACTTCTAGATGCTCGGGATAAAATGAACTAAGGAGACACATTCCCTGCCCTCTAGGAGTTCACATTCTGAGAAGCAGGGTAGAGGTGACCTGTCTCTGGTCTTATAGGCCATTATAAGGAATAATGGTTTTACTTTGAGTGAAATGGGAGCCAGGGTGAGTAGAGATGCAGTGTAATTTGAGTAGGGAGTGAGATACTGGCATTTCTTCCTCTGCCCTAAGCCAGGTAACACTTGCCCACTCACTGTTCATGTTAAAAACATTTGTTAAAATCCAGTCTGATCCTGTTTGCTCTCCTCTTCTCTTTGTCTGGGAGGAATTGGAGATGCATGCTTATGTTTAAGCCATCATTTTAACTTGAAGCCATAGATTTTTACGAAATTGATTTATTGATTGATTGATACGGTCTCCCTCTGTCTCCTAGGCTGAAGTGTAGTGATGTGACCACAGCCCACTGTGTCCTCTACCTCCTGGGCTCAAGTGATTCTCCCACTTCAGACTCCTGAGTAGCTGGAGCTACAGGTGTGGCCCACTACACCCTTTTTGTATTTTTGTAGAGATGGGGTTTTGTTATGTTGCTCAGCCTGATCTCGAACTCCTGGGCTCAAGCGAACCTCCTGCCTTG